CTTGCCTAGTCTAGGAGCTTGCCTAGTCCACGAGCTTGCCTGGTCTAGGAGCTTGCCTGGTCCAGGAGCTTGCCTGGTCTAGGAGCTTGCTTGGTCCAGAAGCCTGCCTGGTCCAAGAGCTTGCCTGGTCCACGAGCATGCTTGGTCCAAGAGCTTGCGTGGTCCAGGAGCTTGCCTGGTCCAGGAGCTTGCCTGGTCCAGGAGCTAGCCTGGTCCAGGAGCTTGCCTGGACGAGGAGCTTGCTTGGTCCAGGAGCTTCCTTGGTCTAGAAGCTTGCTTGGTCCAAGAGCTTGCCTGGTCCAGGAGCGTGCTTGGTCCAAGAGCTTGCGTGGTCCAGGAGCTTGCCTGGTCCAGGAGCTTGGCTGGTCCAGGATCGTGCCTGGTCCACGAGCGTGCCTGGTCGAGGAGCTTGCCTGGTCCAGGAGCTTGCCTGGTCCAGGAGCTTGCCTAGTCCAGGAGCGTGCCTGGTCCAGGAGCCTGCCTGGTCCAAGAGCTTGCCTGGTCCAAGAGCGTGCGTGGTCCACGAGCGTGCTTGGTCCAGGAGCTTGCGTGGTCCAGGAGCTTGCCTGGTCCAGGAGCTTGCTTGGTCCAGGAGCTTGCCTGGACAAGGAGCTTGCCTGGTCAAGGAGCTTGCCTGGTCTAGGAGCTTGCCTGGTCCAGGAGCTTGCTTGGTCCAGAAGCGTGCCTGGTCCAAGAGCTTGCCTGGTCCAGGAGGTTGCCTGGTCCAGGAGCTTTCCTTGTCCAGGAGCGTGCCTGGTCCACAAGCCTGCCTGATCCAAGAGCTTGCCTAGTCCACGAGCGTGCCTGGTCCACGAGTGTGCCTGGTCCAGGAGCTTGCTTGGTCCAGGAGCTTGCCTGGTCCACGAGCTCGCCTGGTCCACGAGCTTGCCTGGTCTAGGAGCTTGCGTGGTCCAGGAGCTTGCCTAGTCGAGGAGCTTGCTTTGTCCAGAAGCCTGCCTGGTCCAAGAGCTTGCCTGGTCCACGAGCGTGCTTGGTCCAGGAGCTTGCGTGGTCCAGGAGCTTGACTTGTCCACGAGCATGCTTGGTCCAGGAGCTTGCCTGGTCCAGGAGCTTGCCTGGTCCAGGAGCTTGCGTGGTCCAGGAGCGTGCCTAGTCCACGAGCCTGCCTGATTCTTGAGCTTGCCTGGTCCACGAGCGTGCCTGGTCCACGAGCGTGCGTGGTCCAAGAGCTTGCTTGGTCCAGGAGCTTGCCTGGTCCAGAAGCTCGCCTACTCCACAAGCTTGCCTGGACTAGGAGCTTGCCTGGTCCAGGAGCTTGCCTGGTCCAGGAGCTTGCTTGGTCCAGAAGCCTGCCTGGTCCAAGAGCTTGCCTGGTCTACGAACATGCTTGGTCCTAGAGCTTGCGTGGTCCAGGAGCTTGCCTGGTCCAGGAGCTTGCCTGGTCCAGGAGCTAGCCTGATCCAGGAGCTTGCCTGGACGACGAGCTTGCCTGGTCTAGGAGCTTGCCTGGTCCAAGAGCTTCCTTGGTCCAGAAGCTTGCTTGGTCCAAGAGCTTGCCTCGTCCAGGAGCGTGCTTGGTCCAAGAGCTTGCGTGGTCCACGAGCTTGCCTGGTCCAGGAGCTTGCCTGGTCCACGATCATGCCTGGTCCACGAGCGTGCCTGGTCCAGGAGCTTGCCTGGTCCAGGAGCTTGCCTGGTCCAGGAGCTTGCCTGGTCCAGGAGCGTGCCTGGTCCACGAATGTGCCTGGTCCAGGAGCTAATCCTGGTAAGCTAACAGACCAAGAAAGCTCCTGGACAAGGCAAGCTCCTGGACCAGGCACGCTAGGGGACCACGCAAGCTCTTGGACCAGGCAAGCTCCTGGACCAGGCAAGCTCCTAAACCAGGCAAGCTCCTAGACCAGGCAAGCTCCTGGACCAGGCAAGCTCCTAAACCAGGCAAACTCGTGGACCAAGCACGCTCCTGGACCAGGCAAGCTCCTGGACCAGGCAAGCTCCTGGACCAGGCAAGCTCCTGGACCAGGCAAGCTCTTGGACCAGGCATGCTCCTGGACCAGGCAAGCTCCTAGACCAGGCAAGGTCCTTGACCAGGCACGCTCATGGACCAGGCACGCTCCTAGACCAGGCATTCTCTTGGACCAGGCAAGCTCCTGGACCAGGCAAGCTCGTGGACCAGGCAAGCTCCTGGACCAAGCAAGCTCCTGGACCAGGCAAGCTCTTGGACCAGGCATGCTCCTGGACTAGGCAAGCTCCTAGACCAGGCAAGGTCCTTGACCAGGCACGCTCATGGACCAGGCACGCTCCTAGACCAGGCATTCTCTTGGACCAGGCAAGCTCCTGGACCAGGCAAGCTCGTGGACCAGGCACGCTCGAGGACCAGGCACGCTCCTGGACCAGGCAAGCTCTTGGACCAGGCAGGCTCGTGGACCAGGCACGCTTCTGGACCAGGCAAGCTCGTGGACCAGGCAAGCTCCTGGACCAAGCAAGCTCCTGGACCAGGCACGCTTGTGGACCAGGCACGCTCCTAGACTAGGCAAGCTCCTAGACCAGGCACGCTCGTGGACCAGGCACGCTCTTGGACCAGGCAAGCTCTTGGACCAGGCACGCTCGTGGACCAGGCACGCTCCAGGACCAGGCAAGCTCCTGGACCAGGCAAGCTCCTGGACCAAGCAAGCTCCTGAACCAGGCAAGCTCGTGGACCAGGCAAGCTCCTAGACCAGGCAAGCTCCTGGACCAGGCAAGCTCGTGGACCAGGCAAACTCGTGGACCAGGCACGCTCCTGGACCACGCAAGATCCTGGACCAGGCAAGCTCTTGGACTAGGCAAGCTCCTGGATCAGGCAAGCTCCTGGACCAAGCACGCTCCTGGACCAGGCAAGCTCCTAGACCAGGCAAGGTCCTAGACCAGGCAAACTCTTGGATCAGGCAAGCTCGTGGACCAGGCACGCTCCTGGACCAGGCAAGCTCATTGACCACGCAAGCTCCTGGTCCACGCAAGCTCTTGGACCAGGCAAGCTCTTAGACCAGGCAAGCTCCTGGACCACGGAGCTCCTAATCGAGGCAAGCTCGTGGACCAGGCACGCTTCTGGACCAGTCAAGCTCTTGGACCAGGCAAGCTCTTGGACCAGGCAAGCTCCTGGACCAGGCACGCTCCTGGACCAGGCAAGCTCCTAGACCAGGCAAGCTCCTGGACCAGGCAAGCTCCTGGACCAGGCAAACTCGTGGACCAGCCACGCTCTTGGACCAGGCAAGATCCTGGACCAGGCAAGCTCCTGGACCAGGCAAGCTCCTGGATCAGGCAAGCTCCTGGACCAGGCACGCTCCTGGACCAGGCAAGCTCCTAGACCAGGCAAGGTTCTGGACCAGGCAAGCTCCTGGACCAGGCAAGCTCGTGGACTAGGCACGCTCCTGGACCAGGCAAGCTCCAGGACCACGCAAGCTCATGGACCACGCAAGCTCTTGGACCAGGCAAGCTCTTGGACCAGGCAAGCTCCTGGACCAGGCAAGCTTCTGGACCAGGCAAACTTGTGGACCAGGCATGCTCCTGGACCAGTAAAGCTCTAAGACCAGGCAAGCTCTTGGACCAGGCAAGCTTTTAGACCAGGCACGCTCCTGGACCAGGCAAGCTCCTAGACCAGGCAAAGTCCCTGACCAGGCACGCTCGTGGACCAAGCACGCTCCTAGTCCAAGCAAGCTCCTGGACCAGGCACTCTCCTGGAATAAGCACGCTCCTGGACCAGGCAAGCTCCTGGACCTGGCAAGCTCCTGGACCAAGCAAGCTCCTGGACCAGGCACGCTCCTGGACCAGGCAAGCTCCTAGACCAGGCAAGCTCCTGGACCAGGCAAGCTCATGGACCAGGCAAACTTGTGGACCAGGCACGCTCCTGGACCAGACAAGATCCTGGACCAGGCAAGCTCCTGGACCAGGCAAGCTCCTGGATCAGGCAAGCTCCTGGACCAGGCACGCTCTTGGACCAGGCAAGCTCCTAGACCAGGCAAGGTCCTGGACCAAGCAAGCTCCTGGACCAGGCAAGCTCGCGGACCAGGCACGCTCCTGGACCAGGCAAGCTCCTTGACCACGCAAGCTCCCGGACCACGCAAGCTCTTGGACCAGGCAAGCTCTTGGACCAGGCAAGCTCCTAGACCACGGAGCTCCTCGACCAGGCAAGCTCGTGGACCAGGCACACTCCTGGACTAGTCAAGCTCTTGGACCAGGCAAGCTCCTGGACCAGGCAAGCTCCTGGACCAGGCACGCTCCTGGACCAGGCAAGCTCCTAGACCAAGCAAGCTCCTGGACCAGGCAAGCTCCTGGACCAGGCAAACTCGTGGACCAGCCACGCTCTTGGACCAGGCAAGATCCTAGACCACGCAAGCTCCTAAACCAGGCAAGCTTCTGGATCAGGCAAGCTCCTGGATCAGTTACGCTCCTGGAGCAGGCAAGCTTCTAGACCAGGCAAGGTCCTGGACCAGGCAAGCTCCTGGACCAGGCAAGCTCGTGGACGAGGCACGCTCCTGGACCAGGCAAGCTCCAGGACCACGCAAGCTCCTGGACCACGCAAGCTCTTGGACGAGGCAAGCTCTTGGACCAGGCAAGCTCCTGGACCAGGCAAGCTTCTGGACCAGGCATGCTCCTGGTCTTGGAGCTTGCCTGGTCCAAGAGCTTGCCTCGTCTTAGAGCTTGCCTGGTCCAGGAGCTTGACTGGTCCAGGAGCACGCCTGGTCCAGGAGCTTGCCTGGTCCAAGAGCTTGCCTAGTCTAGGAGCGTGCCTGGTCCAGGAGCTTGCCAGGTCGAAGAGCTTGCTTGGTTCAGAAGCCTGCCTTGTCCAAGAGCTTGCCTGGTCGAGGAGCGTGCCTGGTCCAAGAGCTAGCGTGGTCCAGGAGCTTGCCTGGTCCAGGAGCTTGCTTGGTCCCGAAGCGTGCCTGGTCCAAGAGCTTGCTTGGTCCAGGAGTGTACCTGGTCCAAGAGCTTGCGTGGTCCAGGAGCTTGCCTGGTCCAGGAGCTTGCCTGGTCCAGGAGCGTGCCTGGTCCACGAGCTTGCCTGGTCAAGGAGCGTGCCTGGTCCAGGAGCTTGCCTGGTCCACGAGCTTGCCTGATTCAGGAGCTTGCCTGGTCCAAGAGCTTGTCTGGTCCACGAGCTTGCCTGGTCGAGGAGCTTGCCTGGTCCCAGGAGCGTGCCTGGTCCACGAGCGTGCCTGGTCCAGGAGCTTGACGTGGCAAGCTAACAGACCAAGAAAGCTCCTGGACAAGGCAAGCTCCTCGACCAGGCACGCTAGGGAACCACGCAAGCTCCTGGACCAGGCAAGCTCCTGGACGAAGCAAGCTCCTAGACCAGGCAAGCTCCTGGACGAGGCAAGCTCCTAAACCAGGCAAACTCGTGGACCAAGCACGCTCGTGGACCAGGCAAGCTCCGGGACCAGGCAAGCTCCTGGACCACGCAAGCTCTTGGACCAGGCATGCTCCTGGACCAGGCAAGCTCCTAGACTAGGCAAGGTCTTGGACCAGGCACGCTCATGGACCAGGCACGCTCCTGGACCAGGCATTCTCTTGGACCAGGCAAGCTCGTGGACCAGGCAAGCTCGTGGACCAGGCAAGCTCCTGGACCAAGCAAGCTCCTGGACCAGGCACGCTCGAGGACCAGGCACGCTCCTGGACCAGGCAAGCTCTTGGACCAGGCAGGCTCGTGGACCAGGCACGCTTCTGGACCAGGCAAGCTCGTGGACCAGGCAAGCTCCTGGACCAAGCAAGCTCCTGGACCAGGCACGCTTGTGGACCAGGCACGCTCCTGGACCACGCAAGCTCCTGGACTAGGCAAGCTCCTAGACCAGGCACGCTCGTGGACCAGGCACGCTCTTGGACCACGCAAGCTCTTGGACCAGGCACGCTCGTGGACCAGGCACGCTCCAGGACCAGGCAAGCTCCTGGACCAGGCAAGCTCTTGGACCAAGCAAGCTCCTGGACCACGACCACGTCCACGTCCACGTCCGCGACCACGTCCAGGTCCACGTCCACGACCACGTCCACGACCACGTCCAAGTCCAAATCCACGTCCACGTCCACGTCCATGACCAAGTCCACGTCCACGACCACGTCTACGTCCACGTCCACGACCACGTCCACGTCCACGTCCTTGTCCACGACCACGTCCACGTCCAGGTCCACGTCCACGTCCACGTCCACGTCCACGACCACGTCCACGTCCACGACCACGTCCACGTCCACGTCCACGTCCACGACCACCTCCAGGTCCACGTCCAAGTCCACGTCCACGTCCACGACCACGTCCACGTCCACGACCACGACCACGTCCACGACCACGTCCACGTCCACGTCCACGACCACGTCCACGTCCATGACCACGTCCACGTCCACGACCACGTCCACGTCCACGTCCACGACCACGTCCACGTCCACGTCCACATCCACGTCCACGTCCGGGTCCACGTCCACGTCCACGTCCAAGTCCACGTCCAAGTCCACGTCCAAGTCCACGTCCACGACCACGTCCACGCCCACGTCCACGACCATGTCCACGTCCACGTCCACGACCACGACCACATCCACGTCCACGACCACGTCCACGTCCACGTCCACGTCCACAACCACATCCACGTCCACGTCCACATCCACGTCCGGGTCCACGTCCGGGTCCACGTCTTCGTCCACGTCCACGTACACGTCCACGTCCACGACCACGTCCACGTACACGTCCACGTCCACGACCACGTCCACGACCACGTCCACGGCGACGTCCACGTCCACGTCCACGACCACGTCCACGTCCACGTCCACGACCACGTCCAGGTCCACGACCACGTCCATGTCCACGTCCACGTCCACGTCCACGTCCAAGTCCACGACCACGACCACGTCCACGTCCACGACCACGTCCACGTCCACGTCCACGTCCACGTCCACGTCGACGACCACGTCCACGTCCACGTCCACGTCCACGTCCAACTCCACGTCCAAGTCCACGTTCACGTCCACGACCACGTCCAGGTCCACGTCCACGTCCAGGTCCACGTCAACGTCCAAGTCCACGTCCACGACCACGACCACGTCCACGTCCACGTCCACGTCCACGTCCACGACCACGACCACGACCACGTCCACGTCCACGTCCATGTCCAAGTCCACGTCCACGACCACGTCCAGGTCCACGTCCACGACTACGTCAACGACCACGTCCAAGTCCAAGTCCACGTCCACATCCACGACCAAGTCCACGTCCACGTCCACGACCACGTCCACGTCCACGTCCACGTCCTTGTCCACGACCACGTCCACGTCCAGGTCCACGTCCACGTCCACGTCCACCACCAGGTCCACGTCCACGTCCACGTCCACGTCCACGTCCACGACCACGTCCACGTCCACGTCCACGACCACGTCCACGTCCACGTCCAAGTCCACGTCCACGTCCAAGTCCACGTCCACGTCCACGACCACTTCCACGTCCACATCCACGTCCACGACCACGACCATGTCCACGACCACGTCCACGTCCACGTCCACGTCCAGGTCCACGTCGACGTCCACGTCCACGTCCAAGTCCACGTCCACGTCCAAGTCCACGACCACGTCCACGTCCACGTCCACAACCACGTCCACGTCCACGTCCACGACCACGTCCACGTCCACGTCCACGTCCACGACCACGTCCACGTCCACGACCACGTCCACGTCCACGTCCAGGTCCACGTCCACGTCCAGGTCCACGTCAACGTCCAAGTCCACGTCCACGACCACGTCCACGTCCACGTCCACGTCCACGACCACGACCACGTCCACGTCCACGTCCACGTCAAAGTCCACGTCCAAGTCCACGACCACGTCCACGTCCAAGTCCACAACCACATCCACGTCCACGTCCAAGTCCACGTCCACGTCCAAGTCCACGACCACGTCCATGTCCAGGTCCACGACCACATCCACGTCCACGTCCACGACCACGTCCACGTCCACGTCCACGTCCACGTCCACGACCACGTCCACGTCCATGACCACGTCCACGTCCACGTCCACGTCCACGTCCAGGTCCACGTCCACGTCCTGGTCCACGTCAACGTCCAAGTCCACGTCCACGACCACGTCCACGTCCACGTCCACGACCACGACCACGTCCACGTCCACGTCCACGTCAAAGTCCACGTCCACGACCACGTCCAGGTCCACGTCCACGACTACGTCCACGACCACGTCCAAGTCCAAGTCCACGTCCACATCTACGACCAAGTCCACGTCCACGTCCACGACCACGTCCACGTCCACGTCCACGTCCACGACCACGTCCACGTCCACGTCCACGTCCTTGTCCTTGTCCACGACCACGTCCACGTCCAGGTCCACGTCCACGTCCACGTCCACGTCCACAACCAGGTCCACGTCCACGTCTACGTCCACGTCCACGACCACGTCCACGACCACGTCCACGTCCACGTCCAAGTCCACGTCCACGTCCAAGTCCACGACCACGTCCACGTCCAGGTCCACGACCACGTCCACGTCCACGTCCACGTCCACGTCCACGTCCACGTCCACGTCCACGTCCACGACCACGTCCACGTCCACGTCCACGCCCACGTCCACGTCCAGGTCCACGTCCACGTCCAGGTCCACGTCAACGTCCAAGTCCACGTCCACGACCACGTCCACGTCCACGTCCACGACCACGACTACGTCCACGTCCACGTCAAAGTCCACGTCCACGACCACGTCCAGGTCCACGTCCACGACTACGTCCACGACCACGTCCACGTCCACGTCCACGTCCACGTCCACAACCAGGTCCACGTCCACGTCCACGTCCACGTCCACGTCCACGACCACGTCCACGTCCACGACCACGTCCACGTCCACGTCCAAGTCCACGTCCACGTCCAAGTCCACGTCCACGTCCACGACCACGTCCACGTCCACGTCCACGTCCACGACCACGACCATGTCCACGACCACGTCCACGTCCACGTCCACGTCCAGGTCCACGTCCACGACCACGTCCACGTCCACGACCACGTCCAGGTCCACGTCCACGACCACGTCCACGACCACGTCCAAGTCCAAGTCCACGTCCACGTCCACGACGACATCCACGTCCACGTCCACGACCATGTCCACGTCCACGTCCAAGTCCACGACCTCGTCCAAGTCCACGACAACGTCCACGTCCAGGTCCACGACCACGTCCACGTCCACGTCCAGGACCACGTCCACGTCCACGTCCACGTCCACGTCCACGTCCACGTCCACGACCACGTCCACGTCCACGTCCACGTCCACGTCCACGACCACGTCCACGTCCACGTCCACGACCACGTCCACGTCCACGTCCACGACCATGTCCACGTCCACGTCCTGTTCACGTCCAAGTCCACGTCCAAGTCCACGTCCACGTCCACGTCCACGACCACGTCCACGATCACGTCCATATCCAAGTCCACGTCCACGTCCACGACCACGTCCACGTCCACGTCCACGTCCACGTCCTCGTCCACGACCACGTCCACGTCCTCGTCCACGTCCACGTCCACGTCAACGTTCACGTCCATGTCCACGTTTACGTCCACGTCCACGTCCACGACCACGTCCATGTCCACGACCACGTCCACGTCCACATCCACGACCACGTCCACGTCCACGTCCAAGTCCACGTCCACGTCCAAGTCCACGACCACGTCCACGTCCAGGTCCACGACCACGTCCACGTCCACGTCCACGACCACGTCCACGTCCACGTCCACGTCCACGTCCACGACCACGTCCACGTCCACGTCCACGTCCACGTCCAGGTCCACGTCCACGTCCAGGTCCACGTCAACGTCCAAGTCCACGACCACGACCACGTCCACGTCCACGTCCACGACCACGACTACGTCCACGTCCACGTCCAAGTCCTCCACGTCCAGGTCCACGTCCACGACCACGTCCACGACCACGTCCACGTCCACGTCCACGTCCACGTCCACAACCAGGTCCACGTCCACGTCCACGTCCACGTCCACGACCACGTCCACGACCACGTCCACGTCCACGTCCAAGTCCACGTCCACGTCCAAGTCCACGTCCACGTCCACGACCACGTCCACGTCCACGTCCACGTCCACGACCACGACCATGTCCACGACCACGTCCACGTCCACGTCCACGTCCACGTCCACGTCCACGACCACGTCCACGTCCACGACCACGTCCAGGTCCACGTCCACGACCACGACCACGTCCACGACCACGTCCAAGTCCAAGTCCACGTCCACGTCCACGACGACGTCCACGTCCACGTCCACGACCACGTCCACGTCCACGTCCAAGTCCACGACCTCGTCCAAGTCCACGACAACGTCCACGTCCAGGTCCACGACCACGTCCACGTCCACGTCCAGGACCACGTCCACGTCCACGTCCACGTCCACGTCCACGACCACGTCCACGTCCATGTCCACGTCCACGACCACGTCCACGTCCACGTCCACGACCACGTCCACGTCCACGTCCACGACCACGTCCACGTCCACGTCCTGTTCACGTCCAAGTCCACGTCCAAGTCCACGTCCACGTCCACGTCCACGACCACGTCCACGATCACGTCCATATCCAAGTCCACGTCCACGTCCACGACCACGTCCACGTCCACGACCACGTCCACGTCCACGTCCACGACCACGTCCACGTCCTCGTCCACGTCCACGTCCACGTCCACGTCAACGTTCACGTCCATGTCCACGTTCACGTCCACGTCCACGTCCACGACCACGTCCACGTCCACGACCATGTCCACGTCCACATCCACGACCACGTCCACGTCCACGTCCAAGTCCACGTCCACGTCCAAGTCCACGACCACGTCCACGTCCAGGTCCACGACCACGTCCACGTCCACGTCCACGACCACGTCCACGTCCACGTCCACGTCCACGTCCACGTCCACGAGTCCACGTCCACGTCCACGTCCACGTCCAGGTCCACGTCCACGTCCAGGTCCACGTCAACGTCCAAGTCCACGTCCACGACCACGTCCACGTCCATGTCCACGACCACGACTACGTCCACGTCCACGTCAAAGTCCACGTCCACGACCACGTCCAGGTCCACGTCCACGACCACGTCCTCGACCACGTCCACGTCCACGTCCACGTCCACAACCAGGTCCACGTCCACGTCCACGTCCACGTCCACGTCCACGACCACGTCCACGTCCACGACCACGTCCACGTCCACGTCCAAGTCCACGTCCACGTCCAAGTCCACGTCCACGTCCACGACCACGTCCACGTCCACGTCCACGTCCACGTCCACGACCACGACCATGTCCACGACCACGTCCACGTCCACGTCCACGTCCAGGTCCACGTCCACGTCCACGTCCACGACCACGTCCACGTTCACGACCACGTCCAGGTCCACGTCCACGACCACGTCCACGACCACGTCCACGTCCAAGTCCACGTCCACGTCCACGTTAACGACCACGTCCACGTCCACGTCCACGTCCAAGTCCACGTCCACGTCCAAGTCCACGACCACGTCCACGTCCAGGTCCACGACCAAGTCCACGTCCACGTCCACGACGACGTCCACGTCCACGTCCACGACCACGTCCACGTCCACGTCCTGTTCACGTCCAAGTCTACGTCCAAGTCCACGTCCACGTCCACGTCCACGACCACGTCCACGATCACGTCCATGTCCAAGTCCACGTCCACGTCCACGACCACGTCCACGTCCACGACCACGTCCACGTCCACGTCCACGACCACGTCCACGTCCTCGTCCACGTCCACGTCCACGTCCACGTCAACGTTCACGACCACGTCCACGTCCACGTTCACGACCACGTCCACGTCCACGTCCACGTCCAAGTCCACGTCCACGTCCAAGTCCACGACCACGTCAACGTCCAGGTCCACGACCAAGTCCACGTCCACGTCCACGACGACGTCCACGTCCACGTCCACGACCACGTCCACGTCCACGTCCACGTCCAAGTCCACGTCCTCGTCCAAGTTCACGACAACGTCCACGTCCAGGTCCACGACCACGTCCACGTCCACGTCCAGGACCACGTCCACGTCCACGTCCACGTCCACGTCCACGTCCACGTCCACGACCACGTCCACGTCCACGTCCACGTCCACGTCCACGACCACGTCCACGTCCACGTCCACGACCACGTCCACGTCCACGTCCACGACCACGTCCACGTCCACGTCCTGTTCACGTCCAAGTCTACGTCCAAGTCCACGTCCACGTCCACGTCCACGACCACGTCCACGATCACGTCCATGTTCAAGTCCACGTCCACGTCCACGACCACGTCCACGTCCACGACCACGTCCACGTCCACGTCCACGACCACGTCCACGTCCTCGTCCACGTCCACGTCCACGTCCACGTCAACGTTCACGTCCATGTCCACGGTCACGTCCACGTCCACGTCCACGACCACGTCCACGTCCACGACCACGACCACGTCCACCTCCACGTCCACGTCCACGTCCACGTCCACGTCCACGACCACGTCCACGTCCTCGTCCACGTCCACGTCCTCGTCCACGTCCACGTTCACGTCCACGTCCACGTCCACGACCACGTCCACGTCCACGTCGACGTCCACGACCACGTCCACGTCCACGTCCACGACCACGTCCACGTCCACGTCCACGTCCACGTCCAAGTCCTCCACGTCCACGTCCACGTCCACTACCACGTCCACGACCACGTCCACGTCCACGTCCACGTCCAAGTCCACGTCCACGTCCACGTCCACGACCACATCCACGTCCACGTCCACGACCACGTCCACGTCCACGTCCACGACCACGTCCACGTCCACGTCCAAGTCCACGTCCACGTCCACGTCCACGACCACGACCACGTCCACGTCCACGTCCACGTCCACGTCCAAGTCCTCCATTTATGTCCACGACCACGTCCACGTCCAGGTCCACGTCCACGACCACGTCCACGACCACGTCCACGTCCACGTCCACGTCCACGTCCAAGTCCTCCACGTCCACGTCCACGTCCATGTCCACGTCCACGTCCACGTCCACGTCAAGGTCCACGTCCACGTCCACGACTACGTCCACGTCCACGTCCACATCCACGTCCACGTCCACGTCCAGGTCCACGTCCACGTCCACGTCCACGACCACGTCCACGTCCACGTCCAAGTCCACGTCCACGTCCACAACGACGTCCAAGTCCACATCCACGTCCACGTCCAAGACCACGTCCAAGTCCACGTCCACGTCCAAGTCCACGTCCACTTCCACGTCCACGTCCACGTCCACATCCACGACCACGTCCACGTCCACGTCCACGTCCACGACCACGTCCACGTCCACGTCCTCGTCCACGTCCACGTCCACGTCCACATCCACGTCCACGACCACGTCCACGTCCACGTCCACGACCACGTCCACGTCCACGTCCACGTCCACGACCACGTCCACGTCCACGTCCACGTCCAAGTCCTCCACGTCCACGTCCACGTCCACTACCACGTCCACGACCACGTCCACGTCCACGTCCACGTCCACGTCCACGTCCACGTCCACGACCACATCCACGTCCACGTCCACGACCACGTCCACGTCCACGTCCACGTCCACGACCACGTCCACGTCCACGTCCAAGTCCACGTCCACGTCCACGTCCACGACCACGACCACGTCCACGTCCACGTCCACGTCCACGTCCAAGTCCTCCATTTACGTCCATGACCACGTCCACGTCCAGGTCCACGTCCACGACCACGTCCACGACCACGTCCACGTCCACGTCCACGTCCACGTCCAAGTCCTTCACGTCCACGTCCACGTCCACGTCCATGTCCACGTCCACATCCACGTCAACGTCAAGGTCCACGTCCACGTCCACGACTACGTCCACGTCCACGTCCACATCCACGTCCACGTCCACGTCCAGGTCCACGTCCACGTCCACGTCCACGACCACGTCCACATCCACGTCCAAGTCCACGTCCACCTCCATAACCACGTCCACGTCCACGTCCACGTCCACGTCCAAGTCCACATCCACGTCGACGTCCAAGACCACGTCGAAGTCCACGTCCACGTCCAAGTCCACGTCCACGTCCACGTCCAGGTCCACGTCCACGTCCAAGTCCACGTCCACGTCCACGTCCACGTCCACGACCACGTCCACGTCTACGTCCACGTCCACGTCCAAGTCCTCCACGTCCATGTCCACGTCCATGTCCACGTCCAGGTCCACGTCCACGTCCACGTCTACGTCCACGTCCACGTCCAAGTCCACGTCCACGTCCACGTCCACGTCCACGACCACGTCCAAGTCCTCCACGTCCACGTCCACGTCCACGTCCACGACCACGTCCACATCCACGTCCACGTCCAATTCCTCCTTGTCCACGTCCACGTCCACGTCCACGTCCACGACCACGTCCAGGTCCACGTCCACGACCACGTCCACGACCACGTCCACGTCCAAGTCCACGTCCACGTCCACGACCACGTCCACGTCCACGACCACGTCCACGTCCACGTCCACGACCACGACCACGTCCACGTCCACGTCCAAGTCCACGTCCAAGTCCACGTCCACGTTCACGACCACGTCCACGATCACGTCCATGTCCAAGTCCACGTCCACGTCCACGACCACGTCCACGTCCACGACCACGTCCACGTCCACGTCCACGTCCACGACCACGTCCACGTCCTCGTCCACGTCCACGTCCACGTCCACGTGAACGTTCACGTCCAGGTCCACGTCCACGTCCATGTCCACGACCACGTCCACGTCCACGACCACGTCCACGTCCACATCCACGACCACGTCCACGTCCACGTCCACGTCCACGACCACGTCCACGTCCACGTCCTCGTCCACGTCCACGTCCACGTCCACGTCCACGTCCACGACCACGTCCACGTCCACGACCACGTCCACGTCCACGTCCACGTCCACGACTACGTCCACGTCCACGTCCACGTCCAAGTCCTCCACGTCCACGTCCACGTCCACTACCACGTCCACGTCCACGTCCACGTCCACGTCCACGTCCAAGTCCACGTCCACGTCCACGTCCATGTCCACGACCACATCCACGTCCACGTCCACGACCACGTCCACGTCCACGTCCACGTCCAAGTCCACGTCCACGTCCACGTCCACGACCACGACCACGTCCACGTCCACGTCCACGTCCAAGTCCTCCATTTACGTCCACGACCACGTCCACGTCCAAGTCCACGTCCACGACCACATCCACGACCACGTCCACGTCCACGTCGACGTCCAAGTCCTCCACGTCCACGTCCACGTCCACGTCCACGTCCATGTCCACGTCCACGTCCACGTCCACGTCAAGGTCCACGTCCACGTCCACGACTACGTCCACGTCCACGTCCACGTCCACGTCCAGGTCCACGTTCACGTCCACGACCACGTCCACGTCCACGTCCAAGTCCACGTCCACGTCCACGACCACGTCCACGTCCACGTCCACGTCCAAGTCCACATCCACGTCCACGTCCAAGACCACGTCCAAGTCTACGTCCACGTCCAAGTCCACGTCCACGTCCACGTCCACGACCACGTCCACGTCCAAGTCCACGTCCACGTCCAAGTCCACGTCCACGTCCACGTCCACGACCACGACCATGTCCACGACCACGTCCACGTCCACGTCCACGTCCAGGTCCACGTCCACGTCCACGTCCACGACCACGTCCACGTCCACGTCCACGACCACGTCCAGGTCCACGTCCACGACCACGTCCACGACCACGTCCAAGTCCACGTCCACGTCCACGTCCACGACAACGTCCAGGTCCAGGTCCACGACCACGTCCACGTCCACGTCCACGACCACGTCCACGTCCACGTCCACGTCCACGTCCACGACCACGTCCACGTCCACATCCACGTCCACGTCCACGACCACGTCCACGTCTACGTCCACGTCCACGTCCACGTCCACGTCCACGTCCACGTCCACGTCCACGTCCACGACCACGTCCACAATCACGTCCACGTCCACGACCACGTCCACGTCCACGACCACGTCCACGTCCACGTCCACGACCACGACCACGTCCACGTCCACGTGCACGTCCACGTCCACGTCAACGTTCACGTCCACGTCCACGTCCACGTCCACGACCACGTCCACGTCCTCGTCCACGTGCACGTCCACGTCCACGACCACGTCCACGTCCACGACCACGTCCACGTCCACGTCCACGACCACGTCCACGTCCACGTTCACATCCACGTCCACGTCCACGACCACGTCCACGTCCACGACCACGTCCACGTCCACTCCACGACCACGTCCACGTCAACGTCCACGTCAACGTCCTCGTCCACGTCCACGACCACGTCCACGTCCTCGTCCACGTCCACGTCCACGTCCACGTCCACATCCACGTCCACGACCACGTCCACGTCCACGTCCACGTCCACGACCACGTCCACGTCCACGTCCACAACCACGTCCACGTCCACGACCACGTCCACGTCCACGTCCACGTCCAAGTCCTCCACGTCCTTGTCCATGTCCACTACCACGTCCACGACCACGTCCACGTCCACGTCCAAGTCCACGTCCACGTCCACGTCCACAACCACATCCACGTCCACGTCCACGACCACGTCCACGTCCAAGTCCACGTCCACGACCACATCCACGTCCACGTCCACGTCCACGACCACGACCACGTCCACGTCCACGTCCAAGTCCTCCATTTACGTCCACGACCACGTCCACGTCCAGGTCCACGTCCACGACCACGTCCATGTCCACGTCTACGTCCACGTCCACAATCACGTCCACGTCCACGACCACGTCCACGACCACGTCCACGTCCACGACCACGTCCACGTCCACGTCCAAGTCCTCCATTTACGTCCACGACCACGTCCACGTCCAGATCCACGTCCACGACCACGTCCACGACCACGTCAACGTCCACGTCCACGTCCACGTCCAAGTCCTCCACGTCCACGTCCACGTCCACGTCCATGTCCACGTCCACGTCCATGTCCACGTCAAGGTCCACGTCCACGTCCACGACTACGTCCACGTCCACGTCCACATCCACGTCCACGTCCACGTCCACGTCCAGGTCCATGTCCACGTCCACGTCCACGACCACGTCCACATCCACGTCCAAGTCCACGTCCACGTCCACAATCACGTCCACATCCACGTCCACGTCCACGTCCAAGTCCACATCCACGTCCACGTCCAAGACCACGTCCAAGTCCACGTCCACGTCCACATCCACGACAACGTCCACGTCCACGTCCACGTCCACGTCCATGACCACGTCCACGTCCTCGTCCACGTCCACGTCCACGTCCTCGTTCACGTCCACGACCACGTCCACGTCCACGTCCACGTCCACGACCACGTCCAAATCCACGTCCACGACCACGTCCACGTCCACGTCCACGTCCACGTCCAAGTCCTCCACGTCCACGTCCACGTCCACTACCACGACCACGTCCACGTCCACGTCCACGTCCACGTCCAAGTCCACGTCCAGGTCCACGTCCACGACCACATCCACGTCCACGTCCACGACCACGTCCACGTCCAAGTCCACGACCACGTCCACGTCCACGTCCAAGTCCACGTCCACGTCCACGACCACGTCCACGTCCACGTCCACGTCCAAGTCCTCCATTTACATCCACGACCACGTCCACGTCCATGTCCACGTCCACATCCACGTCAACGTCAAGGTCCACGTCCACATCCACGACTACGTCCACGTCCACGTCCACGTCCACGTCCACGTCCACGACCACGTCCACGTCCATGTCCACGTCCACGTCCAAGTCCTTCACGTCCACGTCCACGTCCACGTCCACGTCCATGTCCACGTCCACATCCACGTCAACGTCAAGGTCCACGTCCACGTCCACGACTACGTCCACGTCCACATCCACGTCCACGTCCACGTCCACGTCCAGGTCCACGTCCACGTCCACGTCCACGACCACGTCCACGTCCACGTCCAAGTCCACGTCCACCTCCATAACCACGTCCACGTCCACGTCCACGTCCACGTCCAAGTCCACATCCACGTCCACGTCCAAGACCACGTCGAAGTCCACGTCCACGTCCAAGTCCACGTCCACGTCCACGTCCACGTCCAGGTCCACGTCCACGTCCAAGTCCACGTCCACGTCCAAGTCCACGTCCACGACCACGTCCACGTCTACGTCCACGTCCACGTCCACGTCCAGGTCCACGTCCACGTCCACGTCTACGTCCACGTCCACGTCCAAGTCCACGTCCACGTCCACGTCCACGTCCACATCCACGTCCAAGTCCACGTCCACGTCCACGTCCATGTCCACGACCACATCCACGTCCACGTCCACGTCCACGTCCACGTCCACGTCCACGTCCAAGTCCACGTCCACGTCCACATCCACGACCACGACCACGTCCACGTCCACGTCCACGTCCAAGTCCTCCATTTACGTCCACGACCACGTCCACGTCCAGGTCCACGTCCACGACCATATCCACGACCACGTCCACGTCCACGTCCACGTCCAAGTCCTCCACGTCCACGTCCACGTCCACGTCCACGTCCATGTCCCCGTCCACGTCCACGTCCACGTCAAGGTCCACGTCCACGTCCACGACTACGTCCACGTCCACGTCCACGTCCACGTCCACGTCCAGGTCCAGGTCCATGTTCACGTCCACGACCACGTCCACGTCCACGTCCAAGTCCACGTCCACGTCCACGACCACGTCCACGTCCACGTCCACGTCCAAGTCCACATCCACGTCCACGTCCAAGACCACGTCCAAGTCCACGTCCACGTCCAAGTCCACGTCCACGTCCACGTCCACGTCCACGACCACGTCCACGTCCAAGTCCACGTCCACGTCCACGACCACGTCCACGTTCACGTCCACGTCCACGACCACGACCATGTCCACGACCACGTCCACGTCCACGTCCACGTCCAGGTCCACGTCCACGTCCACGACCACGTCCACGTCCACGTCCACGACCACGTCCAGGTCCACGTCCACGACCACGTCCACGACCACGTCCAAGTCCACGTCCTCGTCCAAGTCCACGACAACGTCCACGTCCAGGTCCACGACCACGTCCACGTCCACGTCCACGACCACGTCCACGTCCACGTCCACGTCCACGTCCACGTCCACGACCACGTCCACGTCCACATCCACGTCCACGTCCACGACCACGTCCACGTCCACGTCCACGTCCACGTCCACGACCACGTCCACGTCCACGTCCACGTCCACGTCCAAGTCCACGTCCAAGTCCACGTCCGCGTCCACGTCCACGTCCACGACCACGTCCACAATCACGTCCACGTCCACGACCACGTCCACGTCCACGACCACGTCCACGTCCACGTCCACGTCCACGTCCACGTCCACGACCACGTCCACGTCCTCGTCCACGTGCACGTCCATGTCCACGTCAACGTTCACGTCCACGTCCACGTCCACGACCACGTCCACGTCCACGTCCACGTTCACATCCATGTCCACGTCCACGACCACGTCCACGTCCACGTCCACGACCACGTCCACGTCCACTCTACGACCACGTCCACGTCAACGTCCACGTCAACGTCCTCGTCCACGTCCACGACCACGTCCACGTCCACATCCTCGTCCACGTCCACGTCCACATCCACGTCCACGACCACATCCACGTCCACGTCCACGACCACGTCCACGTCCACGTCCACGTCCACGTCCACGTCCACGTCCACGACCACGTCCACGTCCACGTCCACGTCCAAGTCCTCCACGTCCTTGTCCATGTCCACTACCACGTCCACGACCACGTCCACGTCCACGTCCACGTCCAAGTCCACGTCCACGTCCACGTCCACAACCACATCCACGTCCACGTCCACGACCACGTCCACGTCCACGTCCACGTCCACGACCACATCCACGTCCACGTCCACGACCACGACCACGTCCACGTCCACGTCCACGTCCACGTCCAAGTCCTCCATTTACGTCCACGACCACGTCCACGTCCAGGTCCACGTCCACGACCACGTCCATGTCCACGTCCACGTCCACGTCCACGTCCACAATCACGTCCACGTCCACGACCACGTCCACGACCACGTCCACGTCCACGACCACGTCCACGTCCACGTCCAAGTCCTCCATTTACGTCCACGACCACGTCCACGTCCACGTCCAAGTCCTCCATTTACGTCCACGACCACGTCCACGTCCAGGTCCACGTCCACGACCACGTCCATGACCACGTCAACGTCCACGTCCACGTCGACGTCCACGTCCAAGTCCTCCACGTCCACGTCCACGTCCACGTCCATGTCCACGTCCACGTCCACGTCCACGTCAAGGTCCACGTCCACGTCCACGACTACGTCCACGTCCACGTCCACATCCACGTCCACGTCCACGTCCACGTCCAGGTCCACGTCCACGTCCACGACCACGTCCACGTCCACGTCCAAGTCTACGTCCACGTCCACAACCACGTCCACGTCCACGTCCACGTCCACGTCCAAGTCCACATTCACGTCCACGTCCAAGACCACGTCCAAGTCCACGTCCACGTCCACGTCCACGTCCACATCCACGACCACGTCCACGTCCACGTCCACGTCCACGTCCATGACCACGTCCACGTCCTCGTCCACGTCCACGTCCACGTCCTCGTTCACGTCCACGACCACGTCCACGTCCACGTCCACGTCCACGTCCACGACCACGTCCACGTCCACGTCCACGTCTACGACCACGTCCACGTCCACGTCTACGACCACGTCCACGTCCACGTCCACGTCCAAGTCCTCCATGTCCACGTCCACGTCCACTACCACGTCCACGACCACGTCCACGTCCACGTCCAAGTCCACGTCCACGTCCACGTCCACGACCACATCCACGTCCACGTCCACGACCACGTCCACGTCCACGTCCACGTCCACGACCACGTCCACGTCCACGTCCAAGTCCACGTCCACGTCCACGTCCACGACCACGACCACGTCCACGTCCACGTCCACGTCCAAGTCCTCCATTTACATCCACGACCACGTCCACGTCCATGTCCACGTCCACATCCACGTCAACGTCAAGGTCCACGTCCACATCCACGACTACGTCCACGTCCACGTCCACGTCCACGTCCACGACCACGTCCACGTCCACGTCCACGTCCACGTCCAAGTCCTTCAAGTCCACGTCCACGTCCACGTCCACGTCCATGTCCACGTCCACATCCACGTCAACGTCAAGGTCCACGTCCACGTCCACGACTACGTCCACGTCCACGTCCACATCCACGTCCACGTCCACGTCCACGTCCAGGTCCACGTCCACGTCCACGTCCACGACCACGTCCACGTCCACGTCCAAGTCCACGTCCACCTCCATAACCACGTCCACGTCCACGTCCACGTCCACGTCCAAGTCCACATCCACGTCCATGTCCAAGACCACGTCGAAGTCCACGTCCACGTCCAAGTCCACGTCCACGTCCACGTCCACGTCCAGGTCCACGTCCACGTCCAAGTCCACGTCCACGTCCACGACCACGTCCACGTCTACGTCCACGTCCACGTCCAAGTCCTCCACGTCCATGTCCACGTCCACGTCCACGTCCAGGTCCACGTCCACGTCCACGTCTACGTCCACGTCCACGTCCAAGTCCACGTCCACGTCCACGTCCACGTCCACGTCCAAGTCCACGTCCACATCCACGTCCACGACCACGACCACGTCCACGTCCACGTCCACGTCCACGTCCAAGTCCTCCATTTATGTCCACGACCACGTCCACGTCCAGGTCCACGTCCACGACCACGTCCACGACCACGTCCACGTCCACGTCCACGTCCACGTCCACGTCCAAGTCCTCCACGTCCACGTCCACGTCCATGTCCATGTCCACGTCCACGTCCACGTCCACGTCAAGATCCACGTCCACGTCCACGACTACGTCCACGTCCACGTCCACATCCACGTCCACGTCCAGGTCCACGTCCACGTCCACGTCCACGACCACGTCCACGTCCACGTCCAAGTCCACGTCCACGCCCACAACAACGTCCAAGTCCACATCCATGTCCACGTCCAAGACCACGTCCAAGTCCAGGTCCACGTCCAAGTCCACGTCCACTTCCACGTCCACGTCCACGTCCACATCCACGACCACGTCCACGTCCACGTCCACGTCCACGACCACGACCACGTCCACGTCCACGTCCTCGTCCACGTCCACATCCACGTCCACATCCACGTCCACGACCACGTCCACGTCCACGTCCACGTCCACGACCACGTCCACGTCCACGTCCACGACCACGTCCACGTCCACGTCCACGTCCAAGTCCTCCACGTCCACGTCCACGTCCACTACCACGTCCACGACCACGTCCACGTCCACGTCCACGTCCAAGTCCACGTCCACGTCCACGTCCACGACCACATCCACGTCCACGTCCACGACCACGTCCACGTCCACGTCCACGTCCACGTCCAAGTCCACATCCACGTCCACATCCACGACCACGACCACGTCCACGTCCACGTCCACGTCCACGTCCAAGTCCTCCATTTACGTCCACGACCACGTCCACGTCCAGGTCCACGTCCACGACCACGTCCACGACCACATCCACGTCCACGTCCACGTCCACGTCCAAGTCCTTCACGTCCACGTCCACGTCCACGTCCACGTCCTTGTCCACGTCCACATCCACGTCAACGTTAAGGTCCACGTCCACGTCCACGACTACGTCCACGTCCACGTCCACATCCACGTCCACGTCCACGTCCACGTCCAGGTCCACGTCCACGTCCACGACCACGTCCACGTCCACGTCCAAGTCCACGTCCACCTCCATAACCACGTCCACGTCCATGTCCACGTCCACGTCCAAGTCCACATCCACGTCCACGTCCAAGACCACGTCGAAGTCCACGTCCACGTCCAAGTCCACGTCCACGTCCAGGTCCACGTCCAGGTCCACGTCCACGTCCAAGTCCACGTCCACGTCCACGTCCACGTCCACGACCACGTCCACGTCTACGTCCACGTCCACGTCCAAGTCCTCCACGTCCATGTCCACGTCCACGTCCACGTCCAGGTCCACGTCCACGTCCACGTCCACGTCCAAGTCCACGTCCACGTCCACGTCCACGCCCACGTCCAAGTCCTCCACGTCCACGTCCACGTCCACGTCCACGACCACGTCCACGTCCACGTCCACGTCCAATTCCTCCACGTCCACGTCCACGTCCACGTCCACGTCCACGACCACGTCCAGGTCCACGTCCACGACCACGTCCACGACCACGTCCACGTCCAAGTCCACGTCCACGTCCACGACCACGTCCACGTCCACGACCACGTCCACGTCCACGTCCACGACCACGACCACGTCCACGTCCACGTCCACGTCCAAGTCCACGTCCAAGTCCACGTCCACGTCCACGACCACGTCCACGATCACGTCCATGTCCAAGTCCACGTCCACGTCCACGACCACGTCCACGTCCACGACCACGTCCACGTCCACGTCCACGTCCACGACCACGTCCAAGTCCTCGTCCACGTCCACGTCCACGTCCACGTGAACGTTCACGTCCAGGTCCACGTCCACGTCCACGTCCACGACCACGTCCACGTCCACGACCACGTCCACGTCCACATCCACGACCACGTCCACGTCCACGTCCACGTCCACGACCACGTCCACGTCCACGTCCTCGTCCACGTCCACGTCCACGTCCACGTCCACGTCCACGACCACGTCCACGTCCACGTCCACGACCACGTCCACGTCCACGTCCACGTCCACGTCCTTGACCACGTCCACGTCCACGTCCACGTCCAAGTCCTCCACGTCCACGTCTACGTCCACTACCACGTCCACGTCCACGTCCACGTCCACGTCCACGTCCACGTTCAAGTCCACGTCCACGTCCACGTCCACGTCCACGACCACGTCCACGTCCACGTCCACGTCCAAGTCCACGTCCACGTCCACGTCCACGACCACGTCCACGTCCACGTCCACGTCCACGTCCAGGTCCACGTCCACGACCACATCCACGACCACGTCCACGTCCACGTCCACGTCCAAGTCCTCCACGTCCACGTCCACGTCCACGTCCATGTCCACGTCCACGTCCACGTCCACGTCAAGGTCCACGTCCACGTCCACGACTACGTCCACGTCCACGTCCACGTCCACGTCCACGTCCAGGTCCAGGTCCACGTTCACGTCCACGACCACGTCCACGTCCACGTCCAAGTCAACGTCCACGTCCACGTCCACGTCCACGTCCAATTCCTCCACGTCCATGTCCACGTCCACGTCCACGTCCACGACCACGTCCAGGTCCACGTCCACGACCACGTCCACGACCACGTCCACGTCCAAGTCCACGTCCACGTCCACGACCACGTCCACGTCCACGACCACGTCCACGTCCACGACCACGACCACGTCCACGTCCACGTCCACGTCCAAGTCCACGTCCAAGTCCACGTCCACGTCCACGACCACGTCCACGATCACGTCCATGTCCAAGTCCACGTCCACGTCCACGACCACGTCCACGTCCACGACCACGTCCACGTCCACGTCCACGTCCACGACCACGTCCCAAGTCCTCGTCCACGTCCACGTCCATGTCCACGTGAACGTTCACGTCCAGGTCCACGTCCACGTCCACGTCCACGACCACGTCCACGTCCACGACCACGTCCACGTCCACATCCACGACCACGTCCACGTCCACGTCCACGACCAAGTCCAAGTCCACGTCCTCGTCCACGTCCACGTCCACGTCCACGTCCACGACCACGTCCACGTCCACGTCCACGACCACGTCCACGTCCACGTCCACGTCCACGACCACGTCCACGTCCACGTCCACGTCCAAGTCCTCCACGTCCACGTCCACGTCCACTACCACGTCCACGTCCACGTCCACGTCCACGTCCACGTCCACGTTCAAGTCCACGTCCACGTCCACGTCCACGTCCACGACCACGTCCACGTCCACGTCCACGTCCAAGTCCACGTCCACGTCCACGTCCACGACCACGACCACGTCCACGTCCACGTCCACGTCCAGGTCCACGTCCACGACCACATCCACGACCACGTCCACGTCCACGTCCACGTCCAAGTCCTCCACGTCCACGTCCACGTCCACGTCCACGTCCATGTCCACGTCCACGTCCACGTCCACGTCAAGGTCCACGTCCACGTCCACGACTACGTCCACGTCCACGTCCACGTCCACGTCCACGTCCAGGTCCAGGTCCACGTTCACGTCCACGACCACGTCCACGTCCACGTCCAAGTCCACGTCCACGTCCACGACCACGTCCACGATCACGTCCATGTCCAAGTCCACGTCCACGTCCACGACCACGTCCACGTCCACGACCACGTCCACGTCCACGTCCACGTCCACGACCACGTCCAAGTCCTCGTCCACGTCCACGTCCACGTCCACGTGAACGTTCACGTCCAGGTCCACGTCCACGTCCACGTCCACGACCACGTCCACGTCCACGACCACGTCCACGTCCACATCCACGACGACGTCCACGTCCACGTCCACGACCACGTCCACGTCCACGTCCTCGTCCACGTCCACGTCCACGTCCACGTCCACAACCACGTCCACGTCACCGTCCACGACCACGTCCACGTCCACGTCCACGTCCACGTCCACGACCACGTCCACGTCCACGTCCAAGTCCTCCACGTCCACGTCCACGTCCACTACCACGTCCACGTCCACGTCCACGTCCACGTCCACGTTCAAGTCCACGTCCACGTCCACGTCCACGTCCACGACCACGTCCACGTCCACGTCCACGTCCACGTCCAAGTCCACGTCCACGTCCACGTCCACGACCACGACCACGTCCACGTCCACGTCCACGTCCACGTCCAGGTCCACGTCCACGACCACATCCACGACCACGTCCACGTCCACGTCCACGTCCAAGTCCTCCACGTCCACGTCCACGTCCACGTCCACGTCCATGTCCACGTCCACGTCCACGTCCACGTTAAGGTCCACGTCCACGTCCACGACTACGTCCACGTCCACGTCCACGTCCACGTCCACGTCCACGTCCACGTCCACGTTCACGTCCACGACCACGTCCACGTCCACGTCCAAGTCCACGTCCACGTCCACGACCACGTCCACGTCCACGTCCACGTCCAAGTCCACATCCACGTCCACGTCCAAGACCACGTCCAAGTCCACGTCCACGTCCAAGTCCACGTCCACGTCCACGTCCACGTCCACGACCATGTCCACGTCCAAGTCCACGTCCACGTCCACGACCACGTCCACGTCCACGTCCACGTCCACGACCACGACCATGTCCACGACCACGTCCACGTCCACGTCCACGTCCAGGGTCCACGTCCACGTTCCACGTCCACGACCACGTCCACGTCCACGTCCACGACCACGTCCAGGTCCACGTCCACGACCACGTCCACGACCACGTCCAAGTCCACGTCCTTGTCCAAGTCCACGACAACGTCCACGTCCAGGTCCACGACCACGTCCACGTCCACGTCCACGTCCACGTCCAGGTCCACGTCCACGACCACATCCACGACCACGTCCACGTCCACGTCCACGTCCAAGTCCTCCACGTCCACGTCCACGTCCACGTCCATGTCCACGTCCACGTCCACGTCCACGTCAAGGTCCACGTCCACGTCCACGACTACGTCCACGTCCACGTCCACGTCCACGTCCACGTCCAGGTCCACGTTCACGTCCACGACCACGTCCACGTCCACGTCCAAGTCAACGTCCACGTCCACGTCCACGTCCACGTCCAATTCCTCCACGTCCATGTCCACGTCCACGTCCACGTCCACGACCACGTCCAGGTCCACGTCCACGACCACGTCCACGACCACGTCCACGTCCAAGTCCACGTCCACGTCCACGACCACGTCCACAGTCCACGACCACGTCCACGTCCACGGACCACGACCACGTCCACGTCCACGTCCAAGTCCACGTCCAAGTCCACGTCCACGTCCACGACCACGTCCACGATCACGTCCATGTCCAAGTCCACGTCCACGTCCACGACCACGTCCACGTCCACGACCACGTCCACGTCCACGTCCACGTCCAGGACCACGTCCAAGTCCTCGTCCACGTCCACGTCCATGTCCACGTGAACGTTCACGTCCAGGTCCACGTCCACGTCCACGTCCACGACCACGTCCACGTCCACGACCACGTCCACGTCCACATCCACGACCACGTCCACGTCCACGTCCACGTCCACGACCAAGTCCACGTCCCACTGTCCTCGTCCACGTCCAACGGTCCACGTCCACGTCCACGACCACGTCACGTCACGTCCACGACCACGTCCACGTCCACGTCCACGTCCACGTCCACAGACCACGTCCACGTCCACGTCCACGTCCAAGTCCTCCACGTCCACGTCCACGTCCACTACCACGTCCACGTCCACGTCCACGTCCACGTCCACGTCCACGTTCAAGTCCACGTCCACGTCCACGTCCACGTCCACGACCACGTCCACGTCCACGTCCACGTCCAAGTCCACGTCCACGTCCACGTCCACGACCACGACCACGTCCCGTCCACGTCCACAGTCCACGTCCAGGTCCACGTCCACGACCACATCCACGACCACGTCCACGTCCACGTCCACGTCCAAGTCCTCCACGTCCACGTCCACGTCCACGTCCATGTCCACGTCCACGGTCCACGTCCACGTCAAGGTCCACGTCCACGTCCACGACTACGTCAACGTCCACGTCCACGTCCACGTCCCACGTCCAGGTCCAGGTCCACGTTCACGTCCACGACCACGTCCACGTCCACGTCCAAGTCCACGTCCACGTCCACGACCACGTCCACGTCATCACTCCACGTCCAAGTCCACGTCCACGTCCACGACCACGTCCACGACCACGTCCACGTCCACGTCCACGTCCACGACCACGTCCAAGTCCCGTCCACGTCCACGTCCACGTCCACGTGAACGTTCACGTCCAGGTCCACGTCCACGTCCACGTCCACGACCACTCCACTCCACGACCACGTCCACGTCCACATCCACGACGACGTCCACGTCCACGTCACGTCCACGACCACGTCCACGTCCACGTCCTCGTCCACGTCCACGTCCACGTCCACGTCCACGACCACGTCCACGTCCACGTCCACGACCACGTCCACGTCCACGTCCACGTCCACGTCCACGACCACGTCCCACGTCCACGTCCAGTCCTCCACGTCCACGTCGACGTCCACTACCACGTCCACGTCCACGTCCACGTCCACGTCCACGTCCACGTTCAAGTCCACGTCCACGTCCACGTCCACGACCACGTCCACGTCCACGTCCACGTCCAAGTCCACGTCCACGTCCATGTCCACGACCACGACCACGACCACGTCCACGTCCACGTCCACGTCCACGTCCAGGTCCACGTCCACGACCACGTCCACGACCACGTCCACGTCCACGTCCACGTCCAAGTCCTCCACGTCCACGTCCACGTCCACGTCCATGTCCACGTCCACGTCCACGTCCACGTTAAGGTCCACGTCCACGTCCACTCTACTCCACGTCCACGTCCACGTCCAGGTCCACGTCCAGGTCCACGTCCACGTTCACGTCCACGACCACGTCCACGTCCACGTCCAAGTCCACGTCCACGTCCACGACCACGTCCACGTCCACGTCCACGTCCAAGTCCACATCCACGTCCACGTCCAAGACCACGTCCAAGTCCACGTCCACGTCCAAGTCCACGTCCACGTCCACGTCCACGTCCACGACCATGCCACCACGTCCAAGTCCACGTCCACGTCTACGACCACGTCCACGTCCACGTCCACGTCCACCACCATGTCCACGACCACGTCCACGTCCACGTCCACGTCCAGGTCCACGTCCACGTCCACGTCCACGACCACGTCCACGTCCACGTCCACGACCACGTCCAGGTCCACGTCCACGCCACGTCCACGACCACGTCCAAGTCCACGTCCTTGTCCAAGTCCACGAAACGTCCACGTCCAGGTCCACGTCCACGTCCACGTCCACGTCCACGACCACGTCCACGTCCACGTCCACGACCACGTCCACGTCCACATCCACGTCCACGTCCCACGACCACGTCCACGTCCACGTCCACGTCCACGTCCACGTCCACGACCACGTCCACGTCCACAGTCCACGTCCACGTCCAAGTCCACGTCCAAGTCCACGTCCACGTCCACGTCCACGTCCACGACCACGTCCACAATCACGTCCACGTCCACGACCACGTCCACGTCCACGACCACGTCCACGTCCACGTCCACGTCGACGTCCACGACCACGTCCACGTCCTCGTCCACGTGCACGTCCACGTCCACGTCAACGTTCACGTCCACGTCCACGTCCACGTCCACGACCACGTCCACGTCCACGTCCACGTCCACGTCCACATCCACGTCCACGTCCACGACCACGTCCACGTCCACGTCCACGTCCACGTCCACGTCCACGACCACGTCCACGTCAACGTCCACGTCAACGTCCACGTCCACGTCCACGACCACGTCCACAGTCCACGTCCTCGTCCACGTCCACGTCCACGTCCACATCACGTCCACGATCACGTCCACGTCCACGTCCACGTCCACGACCACGTCCACGTCCACGTCCACGTCCACGTCCACGTCCACGTCCACGACCACGTCCGTCCACGTCCACGTCCAAGTCCTCCACGTCCTTGTCCATGTCCACTACCACGTCCACGACCACGTCCACGTCCACGTCCATGTCCAGTCCACGTCCACGTCCACGTCCACAACCACATCCACGTCCACGTCCACGACAACGTCCACGTCCACGTCCACGTCCACGCCAATCCACGTCCACGTCCACGACCACGACCACGTCCACGTCCACGTCCACGTCCACGTCCAAGTCCTCCATTTACGTCCTGGACCACGTCCACGTCCAGGTCACGTCCACGACCACGTCCATGTCCACGTCCACGTCCACGTCCACAATCACGTCCACGTCCACGACCACGTCCACGACCACGTCCACGTCCACGACCACGTCCACGTCCACGTCCAGTCCTCC